CCTGGGAAATTGACCAATCACAGTTCATTATTCGACTTACGACATCCAATATAGACCCAGCCTTACTGACTTTACTGGCGTGCGAAAAACGCAGCACCAGTAATTTTCATTGCTACCAACTATACTGTTTTCACTGGCAGTAACTAAATCCATTTTCGAACACATCCACAGTGAGCAACAAGGATAAAATGATACACTGCAAAGTCACTAGATAACATGTTAATCTAGTGACTTTAATAAACTGGCACGCTCGGGTGATGTTTCTGAACGCAGCCTGGAATGATCTAGCACTAGCCGATCTAGCTGAACGGGCTGAACCAAGGAACAGAGTCGCAATAGTCGCATCGCATCCGCTCGCATCGTCGCGGAGCATATCGGAGCGATCCATGATAAAGTGCGCATAAAACGAGATGGCATTGTTCCGGATATTGCCCGCCGGAATTGGCACGACGTCCAAGTTTATCTCACGGAGCGTCCCAGCCGTGTCTTATCACGTAAACGTAATTACCATCATTTTTATTCCCATTGCCGCCCCGTACTGACCATAACCTCTACTCCGCCTCCGTACGGAAAGATCGCGATATTGTTGACATTTTATGATCTCGTCTAATAATCTTATCTTCGCGAGCGGCGTCGAACGAGTGCGACGTAAACGTAAATTTCGAGTATGAGCCTTGATGTCTCGTTCGATGTATCCGCGTTTTACGATTTTGCGCTCCAAACCTAATTTGTGCTGCGCCGAGTACCCGGTGTAAACATCATACGCAGAGCCTGATTTATACAGACAGCGGCTATGTATATTCCGCAAAAGAATCATTGTGTTTTTTTAATCACAAAAGATACATTCTATAATTATATTGCGCTACGTGAACTGGTTATTTGCGTGGCGTAACATGGCGTAATCTTCGGTTGTCATATGTATATGTCGCATTCGCGTCGCTACTGTCGTTGCGATATTTTTCATTCTATTCGTCATGTCATTCATAAATTATATATGTCGGTTACGAAGTTTCATCAGTTTGCTAAAGACTTATCTTAGAGTAAAATCATTGCTCTAACTTGCATTTACTGCAGGAAAAAATCAATTTGTCACAATGCTTCGTTTAAAATGTTCACATAATCATTGTTATGTCTCATTACAAATATTCATGTAAAATTTTATTTATTATGTGAACAATTACGTAAAACCGCAAGGAAAGATCGATTTATCACAATATTTCGTTTAAAATGTTCATATAATTATTGCTATGTTATGTCTCATTACAAATATTCATGTAAAATTTTATTTATTACGTCAACAATTACGTAAAACCGGTCAATTAACTAACAGGAAAAATCTTCAGGGTTGCCAGCAATAATTAACAACTTAATCCAGATACGGTCAACTAAATTAATCAAATTTAGTTGACCGTATCTGGCAATTTTTATGTTAAAGCATCGCGACATTTCGACCATGGGTTTTGGTCCTTTTCAAGCGATCTGACAATACAAATAAAAATTTGCAAATTAATACATAAATAAAGTAGACAAGTCCGGTTAATTAATTTGTATAGTATTTACAGAGAAAAGTCCCCTATTATGAGGTAGGATCCTACTATGGGTTTCTGTTAAATTAATAGGCATCAGCAGTTGATCCTACCGTGAATTTATTGCCCTTGGAACGAAATCTGTTTAGTGGAAAATTCATTGTTAGATCGTGTAATCGTTGCGAAAAAAGATTTGGTTGAATTTGGGGCGTTGAAAACCTGCTATCTCATATTAGAAACCTATCTCATAACAGAGGACTTGCCTCTGTATCTGTTAGTTGCATTGTACAAATTATTACTCGTCACGCAACATGTATTGCTTATATTTATCGATTAAAAACAGGTACTAGACCACTACGAGAATCCCAGAAACGTTGGCTCCCTGGATAAGAATGACGAGCAAGTCGGGACAGGTCTTGTGGGTGCACCGGCCTGTGGCGATGTGATGAAACTTCAGATCAGAGTCGACGAAAATGGCAAGATAGTCGATGCAAAATTCAAGACCTTCGGTTGCGGTTCCGCTATTGCCTCGAGTTCTCTAGCAACGGAATGGGTTAAGGGAAAAACGGTGAGCTCTTTTAATCTGCGGGCAATTTAGCGCGATGCTTTCTTCAATGCGTAAAGTATCGGAACGTGTATCATTTTATATGACTGTGACCCAGAAATACATATATGCGAATATTTGTGAATTTCCAAGAAGCCTTTGGTAAATTTTTTCCAAGTTTTCGCGTTCATCTACGCGACATAAAATGCATTCAAGTACAGGGATTTAACTTGCTGTTGAAATTGTTGTTTTTAGGTAGACGAAGCATTGGCGTTGAAAAATACAGACATTGCAAAGGAACTTAGTCTCCCGCCTGTCAAGCTGCACTGTTCGAGTGAGTACACTTGTTTACTAAAATCTTTCATCTTGTTAATTTTGAATTAGAGTATCTCGCAACAATATATTATGCTTTTAGAGTAAGACAATGGTTGTGCACTCTAAACAAATTAAGTTAAAACCAGGACCTTCGTGGTATAAATCAAATGGAAACGAGAACGCCAAATCACTACTCGGAGCAAGATGAAGGTAGCCCAATAATTTTTAAGTTAATACGTGAATTCACATACCGTTTTTTTTTCCAACCTGCGCGCCGTTACTTTCAGACATATAACGCAGGTTTTTCGTTAGGTGGAATCGTTGGAAAAACGATATCTGAATTCACATATTAACTTCCAAATCATTGGGTTACCTTCATCTTGCTCGAACCTAAGTAACAATTTGGCGTTCTCGTTTCCATTTGAGTTGTGCACCATGTTAGGAAACGTAAAAATCTGATACAATTTGAACATCCGAATTTTGTGACCTTGGTTTAATCTTTTTCGAAAAAAATTCCAGTGCTTGCCGAGGACGCGATTAAGGCTGCTCTGTCAGATTATCGCATCAAACAACAGTCGAAGAGTAAGGAAAAGGACGAGGCGACCAACTGAATAGAAGCACTAATGGAAATATTTTAATTACGCAAGGTGATAGCAGCAGAAACTAGACTTAACTTACAGATAGTACTAAGGAAATTATTATTATTGTAATAATAATGTCGTAGATCAAGCTCTGGGAATTGTACATTCCTTAGGCTATATATAAAACCTTTGCTCTCAAAATATTTCCTAACATAGCAATATGAATCGTACCTGTATTCCCTCTATCAAATGAAATAAATTAATTTAACTAGATCCTTTCAGAAGTAAACAGCATAGCTCAACGTCTTCGATCGCGTCTTTAAAGATACAAAAGTAAAATATCCGACGATTGATATACTCATTCTTTTTGTTCGTGTTGACTTCGTCACTCGTACAGCGAAGAAGATTAGGAAACGGTGAACTAAATTAATCGTCACGTAAACAGCGGCGACTGACGCAATAAATAACATGCGTTAACGTGGACCGTTATCAATGGAGAACACTCTCCGCAGCCACAACAGGGGCCATGTGACGCACCGAGTAATTCGTCGAACACGCGCTTTATCGATGCGCGCTTGTATTTCTCTACGCCTTTTTTTTCCTCGTGGCGTGACTCCTCGAATGATAAAATACCTCTCGGTACTCTTCCAATAAGTGCTTCGCCTTCTCCCGAATATAATACCCCAGAATTATTAATCCTTTCTTTTATCTCGCTTCGTCGGTGTCAAATTTTCGTTCCGAGTCTGTCACTCGGACTCTCGTCTTGCTCTTACCCTTCCGTTTGTCTTTGAAATTTATTGAGTCGTTCTCGTAGAAAAATGCGGAAGGTTACTGTACTTTTTTTCGTGTCTTGTTATTTACACCACAAATCGAGAAATTGGAAAACTAATTGAGGAATATTGTTTAATTAACCGAGCTGTAATTGCCATTCATTCAGAAAGATCAATTTCCAGATAGTACGAGACATCCTAGAATCATCCTAAATGCAGTTAAAATATCATAGATTAGTCTAGGACACGGTCTCTATGCTACGTTTTTAAAGAAGTTATTCAGTAAGTATGTAAAAAAATATCCAGTTACTTTTTTGCATGACGTTGTATTTACACCGGACTTGAACATTTATGCAGAAAACTCGTTTCCTTCGTCGAATCAGTAGTTTATTTTGCGTCAATTAATCGTTTGCAAGATAAATTATACTCGTAACCGAAAGCGTTGCAGATTTGAATCAGCGCGACGCCGCCGTCAATCTAATCACAAGTAATGTACTTAATGATTCCTTAAGGCGATACAACGGGAACGTCGCATTTCGCAATAGATAATCTGTTTCGATAACGGGCCTCTCGACTCGGGGAAAATGTGCACTTGTTGCAGATTATTTCTAAGAACAACGCAATTAAAGCGAACGTTGTAAAAAGACGTTCGTAAAAGAGCGGTTGCAAGGAATTTCATGGACGATCTCCAATAATTAATTCCGGCTCGCAATTCCTCGTTTCTTCCCTAGCGCGTATAGCTTTTGTCGCAACAAACGGAGTGTCGCAAGAAACAATCGTACACTTTTTCCAGATTACAGAAACGCGATACATTTGCACTTTGTGCAGTTAGATTTTCGGTTATTATTGCTAAGCTGTTTAACGTAAAAAAATTGGAATCTTCAACAGCTGTGTTAAATAAGGAACCAATAGTGTCTCATTTTTGCGAACTGTTAAGAAATTAAATTTGTTTTAAATCAACACACTTGAGTGACACTTATTGTCGCCAGTGGTAATTAAAGAAAGGGAAAATTCAAGTCGACCAGACCGGCAAAAAGTGATCTTTATTTAAATCACGATTTAAAAGTGATTAAAACTCAAGTTTTCCCTCTGTTGTTTGAAATCGTCTTATAATATTCTTTCTATATCGCTATCCTCTCAGTTTATTTCCAACTAGGAAAACGATTATACGATAGAGAGCACGTCGTGGGCGCAAGGGCGCACGACGATCACTGACTCCGGCGCTCTTTGTCTTGCAATTGTCATCATATCATAACACCAATTGATGCTTAATAAGAACGAATTTGTGTTGTAACTGCGCGTTGTCCCGTGTCTGTTGTTTGTGCGCTTCCACTTGGTTCACGGCTAATTAACTAAGTCGCGGTGTCACGAGACTATTTTATTCCGCGCGATACGATGATCCTCAGCGTTGCGCCAACTGCCATTGTTTGTCGAACTTTACGCGCTTATCAAGAGACCTTATGGCGAACGGCAGAACTTTCCATAAAATTTTACACGGAAATGTTTCGCGTATCGGGGTGCAGGGTGGGGGGGGGGGGGTGAAACACGAGACACATCTCCACGCGCGGAACGTTCACGTAACGTGCATGGTACGCCGTATTCATTATCTCGGCCATTATTTTTTTGCAGATAAAAGAATTGCAGATGCGAAGTATAAGGCAATGAATTGCAAATTACTTTGATTAGTCTCCTCTCTTTGCACACCGATATCTCAATCTCCTCTTGACGTATCGATCGTGTGTCACGAGTACGCAAGTTTCGTATAATTAATTATATAATGTTGTTACACAATTGGCATGCGATTTCTTTTTTTTTTAATCGTGTGATCGTCCATCTTTCGGGTGCGATTTTATCGCAACTACGTAGGCTCAGCGCGAGCGACTTGATATAACGCGTTTATCGTTTCGTCATTTCGCTAAATATTCGATGTAATCGATAATATGATATGAATTTGATACCCACCCGAGGTCTCTCTTAGCATATCTTTCTTCGAGCCTTGGAATAAAAATACGTTGACGTTTATCTAAAATTAACTGCGAAATGGCATTCCGTCCAATTCGACGACCTGAAACAACCGTCAAGTATACTTTGCTTGTATCCGAACGCCTAATTTACTCTAAAATCATTCAAAGATTCTTATCTCCCGAATATTCCGTTATTTACAGTTTATCGATTTAACGACACGCTTTATTAACTCACGATAGTAGAGGAAAGTCTCCTATTGCGAGATAAGTTCCTAATATAAGATAGCGGTTCTATCATTCTATTACTCTTGGAGTGAAATCTGTTTAGTGGAAAATTGATTGTTAGATCGTGTAATCGTTGCGAAAACAGATTTGTGACTGAGTTACGAAAAGGTTGAAAACCTGTTGTCTCATATTAGAAGCCTATCTCGTAATAGGGGACCTTCCTCTATTATTTCCATCATTGTGAACGCACGATTTAGCATTCAGGAGATTTTCGCACAGTTTCGGTCTACGGGAATCTTGCGAGGTGCAGTCGTGGAATAGTACAACAACTTAAGAGGCGTGTAAATAAGCTATCAAATTTCTGGAAATCGGCAGATAAGAAGCGGTTACTCACACCTGACACCATATCGATAATTAACGAATGATCTACTTCCTTTTATAAGAACATAAACGCCCGTGAGCCTCCAGCAAGCGCAAATGTAGCGTTGACATAACATAGGTGTAACATCCCAGTTAGAAATGACTCGTCGATCGATGGCGAAACGATGTCGAATCGACGTCAATGCGACGGTTCCGATGTCGGTACGACATCGTTTCGACGTCGATCGACGAGTCATTTCTGACTGGGATGTTAGCCAGTTACATAACAAACTGTATTTACTGTGGTTTACCCATACACGATTATGTACGCTGCTCTTTTACATATGTAGATTATATACCTCGTGGCATATTGACGGATTAAACGTTATAATACGATAACGGAACGTCCTTATCGAGATCTAAAGAACTGTTAAATTGTAAGCGATATAATGAAATCTATCGCAAAGGGTATCTTGCGGTTTTATCAAAGTTTAATTATACAAAAAACTAAAAATAAAAAGGACGCATTGTATACAGAATCTTCGCTAAAGATACGTTTTTGAATCATTACATTTATATTACTGAATTATATAGAGGAAAGTGCCCTATTATGAGATACGTTCCTAATATGAGATAGCGAGGTTTCTGCTAAATTAATAGACAACATTTGTTGGTCCCGTCGCGAATTTATTGCCTTTAAAGTGAAATCTGTTTAGCGGAAAATGCATTGCTGATCGTGTAATCATCGCGAAGAAAGAGTTGCGATTGAATTTGGATGTTGAAAGCCTATACTATCTCATAATAGAAAACTTTGATGATTTCGATTAAAAATTACCCTATATTGAATATCATGCTTACTTTATATCGAGTATGATTATAAATATACTCTTGTATTAAATGTGTTTTAACATTCCCGTATATAAGAGATATCTTTAAGGCGGTATTAAGTTGTCTTTTAAACATCCCAGTGAGAAATAATTCGTCGATCGACATCGAACGACAAATTACTTCTCACTGGAATGTAACACTGGGAATCACTGATGCCTCGCCATATAATAAACTTAAACAGGTAGAACACGTTAATGCATTTTCCATGTATGTAAATGCAAAACGTATAAATGTGTTATATACGAGCACAAATTCATGTGGAAAGGCACCAGTGACTCCTAGTGTACGTCTAAAAAGTGTCTTGAAGATATCTTTATGGCGCCTTTAAGACGCGCATTGCTGCCTGGCTTATGCCTCTGAATTCTTTCTTTCCCCGGGAATATTTGAGAGACGCAATCCGTCGCGTTGAAAATACAATCGTCGCTCATTACCCTGCAATATCGAATTACAATGAACTAAGAAGCGTCTCGTTACGTTGGTATTACGGACCTTTGGAAATCGGGTTACAGTCCGTCACGTTCGAGGACATCAATTTGAATATTTACTAGCTGCGTGCTGAATATTTATTAGCAGTGTAGATAAGATGATACAGCCAGGAATCGTGTATCAAATTCGCGTGACCTGGAACTGTGGATCATCAAATTAGTTATAAAAAAAAACACTTGTAACTGTGGAACTTTAAAAAATTACAACTTTTTTGAAAGAAATTAAGTTAGCCTTGAAACGCTTTTGGACTCTCGGTACAAAATCAGGCATTTAAACGACGAATGGCATCTGCCTGCCAATCAACTCTCAAAAGTAGCGAATCAATATTTATCGGAGATATTCATTCTATGTTGATTAAAACGGGACCTTCCGCGTGTACGCCTACATTTCCAATGAGAACACTAGCGTCGAATCGACGTCAACGGAGTCGAAACCGCGTCCCAACCGTCAGTTTTCGAAAACAGTTAAGTTAATTGGAACTTAATTTTTCGTATTAAATTTTACATCGAGTAAGTTAACTTGGCGGTTCTCTCAAATCTCGAAAGTGTTCAGAACGTAGTAATTTGGTACAAAAAATACAAAGCTTAATTATTTTCGAAAACTGACGGCTGGGACGCGGCTTCGACTCCATCGACGTAGATGAAAAGCGCCTCCCATACAGCACAAACCTTGCAGTTACATATTGCAGCTACATTACAGCAATGTTGCAATATTGTAGCAATGTTATTGCAATGTAACTGTTTTGTTCTGTACGGGAGCTCTAACGTTGGCTGGTAGCCAATCAGAGGGCTTATTAGCCACTTGAAAGTCTTGGAACTTTATGTTTTGTATTAAATAAGTTAACTCGGCAGTTCTCTCCGATAAGATCTCGAAGGTGGTTTCAGAACGTAGTAATTTAACGCAAAGCTTAATTATTTTCGAGAACTTACGGTTGGGACGCGGTTTCGACTCCATCGACGTAGATAAAAGCGCCTCTAAAGGTGGCTGGTAGCCAATCAGAAGGCGTGTTAGTCACTTTTAGAGGCGCTTTTATCGATAAAAGAGCATTTCAGAATACGTGCCAATTCCAACGACACGCGTGTATAGATTCACGCGAGGCGGTTCTTTTTTTTTTTAAATAGCTCCGCTACTGAACGGAATCATATCCGCTCGCGAAATGGGACAGCCGGCGGCATGCGCGATCCGGACGATAAATATTAAATTCCCGAGCGGTAACGATGACTAATGCTACGGCACGCGAAATCCTACGCCTCGCGCGCGCCTTGCGCTTCCACCGCAAATTTTCCATTCCCCGGTGTCCATTCCGTTCGCTCTCTCCCATCGCTCTCTCTCTCTCCTCTTCGCGCCGCTGCGGACCCCGCAAGGTCGAGAGCGGCGACGACCAAGGTGGAGAGGCAGAGGCGAAAATCGAGCCGCGTGCGATCGGGTGACGCGCGTGGTGCGCGCGATGTGACTCGAAGGCGAAGGCTACGAGAAACAGTTTTTGGCACTGGTGCTCCCGCGGATGCACATCTACCAGCTCGCCAGGCGAGACGGGGATGACGCGGGAGAGCACGGCCTAGTAGCGCGGCGCATTGACCAAACATTGGCTGAACATTGGACCAACATTTAGTTGCATCGGGCCGATGTTTGGCCCGGTACACTGTGCTACCAGGGCGGAACCGTTCGATATCGCGGGGGAAAAAAAGGGTAACGAAACGCCTTCTCGGGGAGTCCACGTCTCTCCACCCTCTTTGCCGTCGCACTCTGCAGCCCCGTTTTCCTTCGCTTATCCCTCGCAGAGCTGCCTCGCGAAATTCGGTTAGCCAACTGATGTGTCGTCGAACCTTCGTTCCTTTTAGGTCTTGCCCAAGCGGAAACAGTGCGCGGAGCAAACATTGATTAAACATTGGCCCAATATTTGGTTGTATCGGGCCAGTGTTTAACTAAAGTTTGGCCCACGCACGGTGCTACTGGAATTCCCAAGCAACGTATGTCTGAGAGACATCTTTAAGAGGTCTTTTAAGTCCTCGTTTAGATATGTATGTCTAAAAGACGTCTTACATATGTCTTTTAGATATGTGTGCTGTACGGGTTGTTTTGTTTCCTCTCTAGATTGGCCCGAGGCGAGATGAGGAATTGCGGTTAGGCGTCAGCTAATACGCACGGCTGGCACTCATGGAAAAGTTTCGTGGAACACGGGGCTGGAAATTTACCGCGGCTCGTTCCTTTGTGTCCCGTTCGTGGCTCCACAGAAATGTCAAGCAGATTCTCGGAAGGCGTACGCATATACCACTCGTTGAGACTCAGCACTTTATACGATAGCTTCTTTGCAGCGACCTGAAAAACAATTGACGAGAGGCAATTTTTAACCGGTCAGAAATTTTGACAGCGCAATCTGTTCCCGCTTGAAAATCGGTGGCTACAAATGCGTCGAAATTTCGAAAGCGCTATTTTTATGTGAAAACCTTTAGTCTCAGCAACTTCAGCGGTGTCGAGAAAAATCTTCTACGCGGAGAGAGAATTTTCTTTTAAAGCTTACCCTGAAAATCAAGTGACCGTGGGACAACACGGCATTTTCAAGAACTTTGAGTTTTTTTTTTAAATTTTACCATACATTTTACTAATAAAATTGTTCAAAAAAACTCTTATAAGTAAAATTACTAGCAAAAAGTATGGTAAAATTTCAAAAAATTCTCATAAAATTCTCGGAAATGCCGCGATGTCGATAAAAATCTTCTACACGGGGAGAGAATTTTCTTCTAAAGTTTACCCTGAAAATCAAGTGACCGTGGGACAACCTTTTCAAGAATCTTATGAATTTTTTAAAATTTCACCATACATTTTACTAGTAAAATTACTCAAGAAACTCTTATAAAATCCTTCGAAATGCCCGCGTTGTCCCACGATAAAAGCTTGAAAGGAAAATTCCCTCCGTGATAACATATTGAGGGAAACGTCGGGAAGGATTTGCATTGATATCTCGTAGCAAAGAGGATAATTGTATGGCTCCAATTCCCTTGGACGAAGCTGCATTCTCTGCGGAATCACCTTGATCTTTTCCGTACGCCTTTCCACCTCATCCTTTGACCGTTTTAGCGATTTTATCGTACATTTAATCCACTCTCCCGTCTACAATTGCCCTCCTCTCTCTGCCGCGAAATGACAGAACATCTGCAATCTCGCTTAACACATTTAAATTTCGCGACGCCCACGCGGGACTCCGAACATCAATGAAGCCCGCTCTTTCCGTCTCGCGTCGGCCGCTATCTCTACCGTCCCTCTCTCCCTTCGTTTCCCTCGTCCCAAAATATCACCTCGCGCGTTCACCTCGTATCCGCGGTTAACGCATATCTATCCGCAATTGTAATTATCGATATAAGTGCTTTCCGATGATAAGATACGACAGGGTACAATAATTTCGTGCGTCTCGAGTAGCAGCGCGACACAGTGCCGTTCCGCTTGACTCGCCGCGGAGTCGCGGCGCGACTTTAAACTCTACGCCCGCGCGCTCCTTGGTCTCTCGTGCCGCCCGAACAAAAGGGTTTGTCCCGCAGCCCTGACCACGTCAACCGCACCGAGGGAGCGTAAATCGCGCCCTTATTGCTCGCGGAAATAAGAACAAGTACAGACAGACAGAGAGAGAGAGAGAGTGAGAGAGATAGATTCCGCTCGACAAAGAAAGAAAGGGAGAGAAAAGGCCAAGCGGACCCGCGGAGCGCGTAGTGGGGACGCGCTCCGTCAATACGAGGGGAGGGGGAAGCCGCGCTCCCCCGCGCGGGTCGCGCGTGTGCGGGAGGGCTAGAGTCGAATCGGGACGGAGGGAGAGAGAGAGAGAGAGAGAGAGTGAGTGAGAGTGAGGGACCGACGCACGCGGCACGGCGGGGAAGGAGGGGACGCGGCGACTGACGCAGAGGGCGAGAGGGAGGGAGAGGGCAGAGCGGACGACCCGACGCCCCTGGCTGCGCCGTGCGTGACACACAGCTGATCAGTCGGCCCGTGACGTACGTGCGTGGTAGGTACGCGCGGTCCGGGAGTGCGCGCGTTAACACACGCGCGAAGGAGGCAGCGGCACGGGATGACGGTCTGAGGGCGAGGCGGCCGAGGTTCATGTGCGTGCACTGGTGTCGCTCCGCGTTCTCTATGCGCCTAGACGACAACGACGACGACAACGACGAGGAGGAGGAGGAGGAGGAGGAGGAGGAGGAAGAGGAAGAGGACGACGACGACGAGGAGGTAGCCGACGGGTGGAGGCATCGACGGTGGCGAGATTGTCCGGCGAGGAACGAAGCGGCCGGGTCGATCGACGGGTTTCGGCCGACGGGGTCTATGACTGGAACTGCGGCGACGACGACGACAGCGGTGGCGGATGATCGCGGAGACGAGGGAAGACGTTGGAAGCACGAGGACGGTGGACGCCGTTGGCACGCGCGGTACGGGTTCGAGGTGGAGAGCGACGCGCAGTGCCGTTTCCGCGGCGCGGAGCATTGACGCGCGCCGCCTCCCCGTCATCGTCGCGGCGCGTCTGCCTACCTGACGCCGCCGTGAATATACACCAGGAGCACACGCGCGCGCGCGCGCGCGAGCGATAAAGAGCGCTTAGTCCTGGAGAAGGGGCAGGCACTGCTTGCCCGAAGGAGGGAAGCAGGAAGGAAGGAAAGAGGAAAGCGGGACGGCTATTGCCCCTAGTCTCCTCTCTCGCTCGCTCCCGCCCGCCGGTTCGGCATCTCTAATTTGCCCCGCGTGGCTCCTCCCCTCCCTCCCGCCCGCCCCCCCGACCCGTCCATCTCCCTCTCTCAGCGTTTTGCATTTATCTGTTGCCGTTTCGCGCCACTGTGTTTGATCCCGTGTGTACACGCGCAGAGGCGCGCGCCCGCGAGCACGCATACACGATACATTTCTTCCCCGTGGCGGCGATCGCGGGCCCCCGCGCGTTTTTATCTGTCCCAGCCGTCCGCGTGTGTTCGGTTTTTAGTGCACTGTATGGTACGCGCGCGCGAACGAGCCGCGATTAAAGGTCGATGACGATGCAACGGGTTCAAGATCAGGACAATGGGATCAACATCAAGTTCGGCCCGGGCAAGCCCCGGAAGGGCGACTACAGGCTGGTGTCGCAGAACTCCGACAACAAGGAGGACCGTCGAAACGGGACCAATAGACCAGGTGAGCCAAGCCGGCTTTGCCGACGACCCCGACGATCCCCCGAGCCCGGAAGAAGCGACTCGCGTGCCTTCCACCCTGCCGCGGGAAGAGATCCGGGATACACCGCGTCTCTCCCTCGGTTCCCCCCCCGGGTGGCGATAGTTTCGCGCGCATCAGCTTCGTCCTCGCGAGGCGTTACTCGAAATTTGTATCGAATTGTCCGTTTGAACAGCGTGATCTCAACGTAAATAAGCGTGGTCGGGACGCACGATCGAAGCTCATGGGAGTAGAAGGCCGCGTTCGCCGACGCGATTGCGAATGACGTCACGGGACGATGACAATCGCGGGATGAATTATGGGAGTCACGAGGAAGCGACGCTCGTCCTCCCGTCCCGCCGTTTCGAGACATTCCTCTTTTATCTTTCGGATACGTAACGATTTTTGCGAACGCCAGCTGTGGTTGTCGCTGATAACCTCGGCGCGGTTCAAAGGCATGTTGTTGTTCCGCCTGGGGTGTTTGCGCGTTTTTCATAATTCTCTAAAGTAACCCAAACAACACGCATGTCCAAGGCCCGGTTTCACCAAACGTCGCTTAACTTTAATCTTAGTTTAATTCACGTCTGTCTCTTACTAAAGTAACAGTTGAAAGGAGACAAAGAACGTATTGAACTGAGCTTAAAGTTAAGCGACATTGGTGAAACCGAGCCTAAGGCCCGATTTTACCAAACGTCGTTTAACTTTAATCTTGATTTAATCCACGCTTGTCTCTTTCTAAAGTAAGAGTCGAAAAGAGACCGAGAACGAATTAAGGTAAGTTTAAAGTTAAGCGACGTTGGTGAAATCGGGCCTTAGACACGTCTTTTAGGCCCAGTTTCACCAGACATCGTTTAACTTTAATCTTGGTTTAAGTAACGTTTGCCTTTTTCTAAAGTAAGAGTCGAAAAGAAACAGAACGAATGAAGCTAAGTTTAAAGTTAAGCGACGTTGGCGAAATCAGGCCTTAGAGACGTCTTTTAGGCCCAGTTTCACCAGACATCGTTTAACTTTAATCTTGATTTAATCCACGCTTGTCTCTTTCTAAAGTAAGAGTCGAAAAGAGACCGAGAACGAATTAAGCTAAGTTTAAAGTTAAGCGACGTTGATGAAATCGGGCCTTAGACACGTCTTTTGGGCCCAGTTTCACCAAACATCGTTTAACTTTAATCTTGGTTTAATTAACGTTTGCCTTTTTCTAAAGTAAGAGTCGAAAAGAGACAGAACGAATGAAGCTAAGTTTAAAGTTAAGCGACGTTGGTGAAATCGGGCCTTAAAGACGTCTTCAAGTCGTTTTTTGGGCCCGGTTTCACCAAACGTCGTTTAACTTTAATCTCGGTTTAATTCACGTTTGTCTCTTTCTAAAGTGAGAGTCGAAAAGGGACAGAGAACGAATTAAGCTAAATTCAAAGTTAAGCAACGTTGGTGGAACCAGGCCGTAAAGATGTCTTTTAGACATGCGTGCTGTATGGGAAAGTTTATGGCTTTTTTTTCACATTCGAGACTCGGTGAGCATCGCACGACTCTCTTTGGTCTTGATATGCGTTTTATTTCACGGAGTGTACGAAGTTTACATTATTATTTTTGTATTAACGTATATTATTATTTTAAGTTACTCTCTAAAGTTTTGGAGTGAACATGTTTACTCCATTAGAGTGAACATTTCACTCCGTGGTTCTATTTTCACTCCAAATACTCTAGGGAGTATGTTGTAACTTGATTGTATAATAATGTAATGAATTATTGTTACGCCAATTTACGCACAGCTTTTTTTTAATAATACACAGACACAATTAGAATAATTTATATTTGACTTTACTGACCACAAATTATTGCCGCTAATTTTTTATAGCAAATCTTTCGTAAAGGGGAAAAGGGGTGGCGTGTACGCTTTTTTTTACCCACGTTAAAAAAAGGCTATTTTGTGCGGGATCTTAAGTTACGTTGTGATTTGGCTGTGATAAAGTAAACCGCAATAATTACAAATAATAATGGACAATAAATTATGCGCTGTGAAAATAGACCGCACCTTTTTTTTTCTATTAAATCGACTAACAAAATCCAAGTCAGAAATACTTATTGAATCTGAAACACGTACCAGACATAGAATGGTGTTTCTCACACGAATCGCACACCTCTTATCACGATACGACCGTATCACCGAATTATCTCACCGCTACTATCATTGTATCTCTTAAACTCCTCGTCGCACGTTCAACAACCGTCTCCATTAATGAGGGCCGCTTCGCTCCTTCCCATTTCTCATTTCCGCGTTACTCCATCTTCGGGATCATATGACGTTTGGGATCGGCCGTTATAGATAGAACCTTTATAAATAGAGGGGCCGGTTAAAAAATTGGCCCAAGAGCCAAGAAGTAAGATGACTGAGTGTAAAACTGATGTAATGATCAAAACGTGCCGTACTTGCCAATTTTGGTGTCGTAGTAAAATCTCCTGGCCTTTATTAATTTAATGCACGTCCAGTGTAGCGCAGCGCTAAGATCTATACACTTTTGAAAGTGCTATGTAATTCCTTTCGTATCAGATACTAAGGTGAATGTGTGAATGTGTGAACAACGGCAAAATAAACGCGCGAATAAACCGCGGAGAAAATTGGTGCTAGAGCAAATTTATCGTCATATTAAATTAGTTCTAGGAGTTTAAAACTTCTTTTCATTTCGCTCATATTCCCCCGATAAGTCGATATCTCGAGCAATCCACGGTAGATAATTTTTTTTAATTGGAAAAACTTATCTTTTATTTCTACTGAAGTGTAATTATATAAATGCTAAATGAAGCCGATAAGTCATACGTCGGCGGCTTCCTCTCCGTCAGAAAATAAAGCTCTCGATCTCACGGGAGACGGGCTCCCAATCGAAATGCCTTTGTCCAGAAAGAGCGGGCAATCGCGTCGAAAATAGGAAGAGCCCGAGCCGTAGGAGACACCCGTTTACGCTAATTGAACTCCCGTCGCGCGAGTCGTTTTTAATTCGTCTATTGTCCGCGCATAAAAGCGAATGGGATTGCACGTCGGAACGGAAATGACTTCCGCGGCACGACGCGGCTGGTATCACAAACGTATCGCGCGTGGCTCTTTCGACGGGGAGAAATTACAACTTTTCCTCTGTCCACACGCACATGGGATTGCCCGCTTTTGCCGCCTCCCGCTCCCCACTCTCTAAAAGTCAATCATGGATTATCACTGAAAAACAGTGGAATACTCACTCAGTTCCAGTTATAAGTGTACCACAATTTTTAGCGGCAGAGGAAAGTCCCCTATTGTGAGATAGCGGGGTCTCTGCTAAATTAATAGGCGTCGTCTGTTGGTTCCACCATGAGTGTATTGCCCTAGGATTGAAGTCTGGTGGAGAATTCACTCGAGAATTCATTGTCAGATCGTGTAATCGTCGCGAGAAAAGATTTCCGATTGAATTTGAACGTTGAAAGCCTGCTGTCTCATATTAGAAGCTTATAAAAGGGGGACTTTCCTCTATAATCGTAACCGCAAGTCAGCGACTGTTTTCAGTGATAATTCACCGATTGACTTTTACAGAGCAGAATGAGTCGGCGCGACTTTTACGTCGCGTTCGTTCGCGAACGAGGCTCAGCCTCAGCTCGAGCCGCAAAATCAAAATACGAGGAAGTCGTAGCGCACACCGTTCATTAGCATATCAATTTCCATCTCGTTATCACCGGGACGCCGCGGTCCCACCCGCCGGGGAACGCACCGCCGCGCATCTGTCATTATCTGCCTGTTGTCTGACGGCCTAATTGCCGTCGTTTGCTCAGTCTTCTCGCGAATCGATTACACAAGATTAGCAATGTGCAAACCGACGGCTAGACTCCGTTCCGCATTTTGTTTGCCGAGCCGCACGGCCGAGCGATAGACTATCGGAAGTAGAGGCAATTCCCCGCCGCGTTCGGCCTTATTGTCTTTTCCTTAAAGACGTTCTGGCTGTACAGTCCCAGACAAAACCTGACGAAGTTCTAAGCTTTGGATGGCTAAGATGTGCGCTACATGTGCTCGTGTCGTTCCTTTTTAAAAGGTTTCAACGAGGCCCGGTAACATAAAGACGGCATCCCGAATGAATATATTTGCATATTTTGTAAATATTGCGATTTGCCGGCAAGAAACTTTTGGACGTGAACTTCACCTGGAAACAGCTGTAAGCCGGCAGTGTGTATCACAACTCGCTTTCAGAATTTTGCATTGGTTCTCAATTAATAACTCGATAACGAGTTAGTGAATCGATGTGAACTTTTTTTTTCAGAAACGTTTCTCGGTATTTTATTCGCTCGCAAAAGAGTTTCCGAATATTGTCAATGTTGTTTCTTTCTAATTTCGTTTATATAAACGGAAATATGCTGCTACTCCATAAGGATCCAAGCAAATTTCTAAGTTAAATAACTCGTGAACCAGCTGGGAGATCGGCTTCGGATTTTACACACGTATATTCTCTCCCTCTCGGATAATAAATACAAATAATCCATAAAACTTTCGACGTAGCGTCCGATACCCGTTTTCGTCGTTTAACTTCGATCTTACAAACAGTTTAATTCATCTTCTGTCCTTTTCTGTCCCCGTAGAAAGAGACAAAAGATGATTCACATGCCCGATTCTACCAATGCAGATGAACTTTGATCTCGGCTTAATTTACTTTATATCTTTTTCCAGTTTTAAAAATTAGGAGAAGATAAACAGTAATTTAAACCGGGATTTAAGTTAATCTGCATTGCCTGAAACGGGCATTAAACTAAGATCGCAATTAAATGACGTCGATGGAAACCGGAGTTGTATTGTAGAAACATAGACATATAAAAGATAGACTGCTTATGAGGCAGTGGAACCCTAGGTGGGGGCATCCTCCTGAGGGAAAAGGACAACATGAATTTATTTGGGTATCTGTCTTCCTCTAGTGGACGTGATCTGAGGGCGATCACGTGTTCACGCCCACGTGATCACGTACACTAGAAGAAGATAGATACCCAAATAAATTGGTGTTGTCCTTTTCCCTCAGGAGGACATCCCCCACTACCTCATAAGCAGTCTATCTTTTATATGTCTATGTGTAGAAATAACGATCCTACCTTTAACCTTACAGCGATCTCAAATAGAGTTACACGTTTTCAAATAGAGCGTGGCATTTAACAGACGTGTTTCACGTGGCAACTGAAATTTTTCCGAAGATAAGTCATCCGTTTCGTCTTTTTGCGTTGCTTATCTCCATATAAAGGAGTTCTGCGAAATTACAAAGTCCAGAAATTACGAGGCTGCACCAACCGAGTGAACTTTGGATTAGCGACCTTGTTGACAAAAAAAAATCTCGACAAAAAGGAAAACGAATTAAAAATCTAGAATCAATGAAGGACAAAGTATCGTGGGGGAATAACGATGCCTTTGTATTATTATAAGCGGTATGAAGATTTTTGCGGGAATCGAGTAGGAGAACCGCAACCTTCTCTTATCGAGAGTCATTAAAATTTTGTGACGAATCGAGAGGCCGGATTTTATTCTTGAGAATCATTCGCGGAGAGAATTTTCTCTTAAAATGTATCCTGAAAATCATGTAATCGTGGGACAGCGTGGCATTTTGAGGAACTTTACGAGAATCTTACCATACATTTTACTAGCAATTACTAATAAAATGTACGGTAAAATTTCAAAAACCTCTTAAAATTCTTCGAAATGCCGTGTTGCCACATCTCTTACACTGCACTCATGTCTACTGCATAATTCTTCCCATTTTTCAGTTTTAACTGTTTATATTGTTGGAACGGAACGGTCAATAATTTTGATTTTTTCCCCCGGCTATTCGTTCTATTTTACTTTATAACATATTTGTTTCTCATACGAATCTCACTCACCGTTAAGTTAAAAAAAACTACTATCATTTGCGTTTGCAAACGCAAATATTAGTATTTTAACGCATAATATGTGTAAATAATATTTCACGTGTAATAATATTACAACGAATTATATTGTTACACGTGAAAATATTTTTAACGTGTTTTACACGTAATATTTCGTGCAACATAGCAAACTTTAACATTTTTTTTTAGAGCTTTGATACGGTCCATTTTAATTTAATTAGTCTTATTTTGCGCGTATTGATGTAAAGAATAAACTGTAAAAATTTGAAACAATTCTCACGTAAATGATTTTACGAAATAACTACCTTAAGAGAAAACTCCGTGTATAAAAGTGAGATGTCTTCAGTTTAAAATTCGTCAAAATTTCTCGGCGCGTCGGAGAGAAACTCGCGGCATGCGGGCCGTAGTTCGTCGACCCATAGATCAAGAGATCCCGAGGAATTAAAAAAGAGATTCCCCATCTCCGTTGCAGAGAAAGATGAGAAGGCAGAGGAGGAGCTAGTCCCACCGGACGGAGGCTGGGGATGGCTGGTGCTCCTGGCCGCAGTCATGGTCAACCTTCTCATCCCCGGCACCATCAAGTCCTTCGGGGTATTGTTCGTCGAATTCCTCGACGTGTTCGACGCGTCACCGGCGGCAGCTGCATGGATACCGTCGCTTTGTTACTTCCTGTACAGTTCGCTGGGTAAGAAACGCGCCGTCGAGTATCTCGAGGTCGCGGTCCACGATTTTTTTTTTTCTTTTCAGATACATACATGTAGAGCTTTCTCGGGTCGGGTCCCGTCAAGGGTTCCGTTTTTCCGCAACCTGTCCCAGTTTCGCGCTTACGTAACCCGCGATTAAATATTTAGGCGTGTCTGTCGCTCTGTTTACCACGCCTTATCGAAACGTCAAAAGCCCCGGGCTGTGTTTACATCGGTTCGATTACAGTACTCACGACACTTTTGCGAAAGGAACTCAAGAGTTATTGGCGTACATTAACTTTCACATTGCGTCACGATGCGTATGCGGGTTGTACATTACATTCTTGTAGGAAAAAAAAGGGAAAAGGTGAATTCACGATAGATAGGAGGTTCCGAGAAACACTCGCGTACGGCTGATGGCAGAGAACGATCCGTAAGGCCCGGTCTACAATGAGTCGTTAGTCAGAAGTCGCAACTATATGTTGATCCTTTTCCTTTCTGGGTGGAAGAAAAAGGACCGACATACATGTATAGTTCCGCCTTCTGACTAACGACTAACAACTCATTGTAGACCGGGCCTAAACGCTTAAGGGCCTGAGCAGAAAGATTGTAGTAACCGTTTACGATTCTGTCGTGAGACTTAAGTCGTTGTCGGCGAAGTCTCAACGCACAAAGGATTGTCGTGGACGCGTGTCGCCTTGCGACGCGATGAATGCGAACGTACGTCTACGACAATTCTTTGCGCGTCGACTTTCGACACCGACTTGCGTCTTACTACGAAATCGTAAACACTTACGACAATCTTTCTGCACGGGCCCTTTTTTTCTTTTAACGCATATACAAGTAATATAAAACGAATGTATCCTTTCCACTCTTCTTTGTATACAATGAAATATATACGAGTATATATTTTTCCGTGGGGCTGGAGCGCAAAGCTTGCGCGCTATCTACGTTTACGCTTACGTCTGTGTCGTAAGCTATTACGTTGCTTTGTGCTCCGACCCTAAGACTGTCCTAGTCGTAGACGTAAGGCAAGGCAGAGAAAAACGTAAGTCGTGTACAATTGCCTTTTACGACTTTACTAAGGCAGTCTTGAGCGTTTTACGGATCGTTGTCTGCCATCAGCCTACCATTATCTGCGCGATGTTTACGCGTGTTCCATCGTGAGCATGATTCACGTCAATGAATCCGAGCAAACACACATAGTTTCAGGAATTAATTTGTTTATAAGTATTGTGTTTGCATCGGGAATCTGGATCACGCCAGACCGCGCGTGCCTTTTCGCAAGAACGAAGCAAAGCGATAATCGCGATACGATTTTATCAAAATTCAAAGAACGTAGGATACATCTGTATAAATAGTTCCTGAGCGAGCGTCAATGTTGTCACTGGTGTGCTTGTGTATTTTTAATTGATGTCTTACTGTTTCAGGCCCACTTTCTAGTGTACTTTCGGTCAAGTATTCCTATCGCACGGTAACTTTAATAGGGGGGACATTCGCCGCGGCGGGGATGATGCTGAGTTATTTCGCGAATTCTGTGGCCTTTCTATGCGTTAGGTAACATTTTTCTTCTTTTAATAGAGACAGATCGTTATTTTGCGCAACGAATATCTTCGTAAAGGCAATCGTTATCGTATCTTTGTTAAAAAAAGAAGATTTCTTCAGTAAAATAAGATTTGTCAAGACAAATTTTATTTTTATACTTAATTTTATCCTGTAATAAGGTAGTTTGCATCATTGCAAAAATAAAAAAATTACAGAAAACAGAAATTACAAAAGCAAAATGTTCAGATGAATCTATTAATAAAGACGAGTGGCGGTATGAAAAAGTGTATCCAAACGAAATGGGCTAAGAAAAGTGTGTAAATTTCATATTGGCTTTTTTGAAGTTATATTCTGAAGTTATATTCTCTCTCGAATATTCGGAATATTCGTTGCGCAACATATTATTATAACGAACGCACGCAAATGTTTCTTATACAATTTCCTGTTTCCAGTTATGGTGTATTGGTAGGTACGGGTGCTGGACTAGCGTTTCCTCCGACTGTATATATCGTGACATCTTATTTTGTACGTCTACGAGGACTCGCCAATGGGCTCTGCATATCCGGCAGCGCACTAGGCTCAATATTTCTTCCGCCCGTTCTGGGCTTTCTTCTACACGAGTACGGTTACAGGTGAGCCCACGATTGCACTGCTCAATGAAAAATTTAACAGTTTCTGCGATCTGAGTGATATGAAAGGTTTCCAAATAATTTCTGCCTTTTTAATATAAATCTGTTACGTGTATCTTGAAATTTTGAAAGAAATGCTGATCAGGATACCTATCATGGAAATATTCGGAATTTCCTCTTAAAATTTACCCTAAAAATCGAGTAATTGTGGGACAACGTGGCGTTTTGAAAAACTTTACGAGTTTCTGAAATTTTACCATACATTCTACTAGTAAAATGTATGCTAAAATTTCAAAAAAACTCTCATAAAATTCTTAAAAATGCCACGTTGTCCCACGATTACATGATTTTTAGGGTAAATTTTAAGAGAAAATTCTCTCCGTGCAGAAAACGATAGAAATCTAGGAAATAATTGAACAATTCCGAACATTTCCATGATAGGTATCCCGGAAGAACAGCGAACTCATATATATGCGAGACATGTTACAGCAGATAGGCTGTTGTGTAGTTTTAAATTTGATTTCTTTATCTACAAGCGTTTATCTTTTGACTAAATACATAAACTTAGCGAATTTAATTTAATTTAGCAAACTTAATCAGACGTTAAATTGTAATAATGTACAGCTTGTTGCGTGCAGTAAAATAAAAATAACAGGGCAGAGAAGAGAGGATAAATATAGTTAATCTCACATTTATCGAAAACTGATAAACGCTGTGTAACAAATAAAATTACCGCGAGGAGCTAAACAAGACCTTATTTATAATTTTTCGATCGGTTACTATGCGTATACATGATAAAAAGTAACGTACATAATAATTGCTCTATCGTCAACTACTTGACCGTCAATCTCTTGAGCGATGAAACAGTAAAATTGATCGACGTGTTCGTTTACAGAGGCGCAGTGTTAGTAATGGGTGCTCTCACGCTAAACGTCTGGGCGAGCGCGCTTCTGTACCACCCGGTAGAATGGCACCTGGTGCCGGCTCGGCCTCCAGACGACAGCGACGCGCAGGATAACGGGGAGACAATGTCGGGGACCGTCACCAGCAGCCCCGAGCAAGCGACGGAGAAGGGCAACAGCCAGCTGGCGTCACTGAGCAACTCGGTGAACGAGAAGGCTGCGCCGATCGTGCCGAAGAGCGCGTCGAGCGTAGCCCTGGAATATTACAAGAACACACCGGTGCAAGGGCGCACGCGGAAGATCAGCATGCCCACCGGACGCGAGATCAGCGGGCAGATGCACAGCACGCCGACGTTGCATGCCGTGCCAGAGCGCGGCGGTGCCGTGATCGATTCCGGCAAATACACCAGAACGATGAGGTCACCGCTGCACTCGCCCAGCACGTCCTCTTTTAACTACGTCAGCACCCCGTACCATGGTAGCACGCTGTCGGTTCTGCACCCGGAGCGCGCGTCCACGTTGACGCTGAACGCCATCTCCAGCACGTTCACCAGAAAGTCGACGACGAGGGAGCAGAAACGGCGCGAACACGACGAGAAGGATCAACAGAACAAATTCTTCGACTTTAGTCTGCTTAAGGATCCCATCTACCTCGTCATCCTCATCTCCAACTCCACCAACGCCATCAGCTATACGAATTTCGTCATTCTGCTGCCGGCCTACGCCATCTCCCTAGGCTTCAACAATTGGGACGCGTCGCTGTTGCTGTCGATCGTTTCCATGCTCGACCTGGTAGGCCGTATCGGCGGCTCCGCTCTCTCCGACATCAAAATCATGCCCAAGCACTGGTATTTCATCGGCGGTCTACTCGCCTCTGGGATCTCTTTGGCCATCCTGCCCACTTCCAGTACGTACGTCATACTGTCCGTCTATTGCGCCTTCTTCGGCCTCGCGTCCGGCATCTACGTTGGCATCACCGCCGTCATCATGGCTGATATGCTGGGCACGGAGAAACTCACCTCGTCCTACGGCATCTCGTTGTTCGTCAACGGTGTCATTCAATTGGTGGGTCCGCCGATTTGCGGTATAGTGTTCGAGCAGATCGGCAGCTACGGACCAATCTTCAGTATACTAGGCATCATTCTGGTGTTCGGCTCGTCTCTTTGGATCATGGTGCCGTTCATCCGGAGAAGGCAGGCTGCGTTGAAAAAGCCCGCCCAAATAGACAAAGTATAATAGACCAAATAAACTTAAGTATAGACGTCTGTTTTCATCGTTAGTATTGAGGAAATTGTAGTTTTTCGTTTTGCATTTTCGAATTTGAGCTTTGGGATAATCATATGTTTATTGGGATAATCGCAGACATATACGCGAGCGAGTAAAGGCTGGTTTATGCAAGACCGTATAACCGTTAACTTATGCCGGAATCGGTAAAAATTAACCAATTACAGTCAACTGTTCTCTTCACTTTTAACGGTGATTGGACAATTTTTACCGATCCCGGCATAAGTTAACAGTTACGGTCTTGCATAAACCAGCCTTAAATTATCCCAACTTTTCGAATTTAAAAATGTAAAAATATGAATTAGAAGTCGTATGCGACTCGACATTTTGCGAGGGCACACATGAGCTTAATCGCGCGGTCGCCAAAAAAGCAGCCGTGCGAGCAGCATATATTTAAGTGTGTGGGAGAAAAAGCGAGAAAGAGTGAGAAAGTGGCCGAATATTAAAATTATATAATAATAAAAAATATATAATTATATAATATTAAAATTATATAATTATATTATATAATATTAAACTGTGATGTTAGCACGAGTGTCGTGTATTGAAGTTACATTGACGAAGTCTTCGGCCCGAGCGAGTTACAGCGAAAGGAAGCATCCAAGTTTTCGCTCAGTCCGGCGACTTTATAGTCCACGAACTGTCTACGATAATTAATTGCCGAACAATTATTGACTGTAAAAACTATAATCGATTGTCAGAGCGCGGTAAATGTGGTAAAGTCTTATTGTATATCATACACTTTTTATAATTATTGTAGATTTGTAATTACTGCAAGTCCTCGGTAATTACCGACGCTTGATTAACTTGTACAAAACATTCATCTCGGAAACGAAAAACGTTTCATTCTGTCGTTACATTTCTTATTAGCGAAATCGATGAAAGCTCAAATTTAGAAAGTAATCTATCTTCGAAAGAACTATTTATTGTAAATACTTATCGCCATTAATCTGAAATTTTGTTTAGTGTGTATACGAATCAATATTTGGTCTCTCACACGGTTTTCAAAGATCATACAATACAATAGATATTAATTTTATCATTTTTATCCTTGAATATGTAAAATAACTTTTATTATTTATACCTTTTTACATTTCTATCGCATTAAGTATTGCTGGTTTTAAGCACTTCCTGCATTCCACCATCATAAGTACTCGTTTTGAATGTTTTGTTATCTCGCTATTCCCACTTCTTCGTTTCTTAAATATTGTAACAATATTGGATCTTGACAAAACCGCCTGTTTTGGAAAAGTAAAACTATATCAGAGACGACATTGGTACATACGCTAACTTAACCATCGCATTTTCGTCCCGATGCAACTAGCATCAGTTATGACCGCTAATTTCTCCACCTAAGTACTCGAATAAAAACTAGATTATAGTCTTCGTGCCGGTGAAAAAATTTTACTTTCAGAGAAAGGGCATGTTCTTTTTCCTGATGTAAGGCAAGAGATTTTTTTTTACGCTTTCAAAGAAGGACGTGTTCTTGTGTTTCTCTGTATACACTGTATACACTGTATACAGAGTGAAGTAATTCTACCATTTATTTCAAATGTTTTTCTTATGATGATATACAGTTGAATGCTGCATGTGTGGTTTTATAATCTGAAAAGAATTACAACATGAATTCGTTTATTAGACTACGTTTCCACCGAGGGTCAGAGTCGGGCTAGAGTCGGGTCAGAATCGGGTTGGGGTGAGCGTTTTTGCGGTGGAAACACCAAACCCCAACCCGATTCTGACCCGGTAGTCCTATCTATCGTTTTACTTTTCCAAAACAGGCGGTTTTGTCAAGATCCAATATTGTTACAATATTTAAGAAACGAAGAAGTGGGAATAGCGAGATAACAAAACTTAACAAAACATTTAAAACGAGTACTTATGATGGTGGAATGCAGGAAGTGCTTAAAGCCAGCAATACTTAATGCGATAGAAATGTAAAAAGGTATAAATAATAAAAGTTATTTTACATATTCAAGGATAAAAATGATAAAATTAATATCTATTGTATTGTATGATCTTTGAAAACCGTGTGAGAGACCAAATATTGATTCGTTTTAAGATACAAAAAGAAATTATATCCACGAATTAACTTCACTCTGTGTCAATAATACTAGACTCCAATTTGATCATCACATTTACCGCCAAACGCCATTGTACCGGCGATGAGATATCGCACAATGCAATCTTACCTGTCGTAATCTTTATAAAGCGAATTATTGTTAGATAGATATTTCAAGATAAGAATTTTTGAGAAACACAAGAACACGTCCTTCTTTGAAAGCGTAAAAAAAAAATCTCTTGCCTTACATCAGGAAAACGAACATGCCCTTTCTCTGAAAGTAAAATTTTTTCACCGGCACGAAGACTATAATCTAGTTTTTATTCGAGTACTTAGGTGGACAAATTAGCGGTCATAACTGATGCTAGTTGCATCGGGACGAAAATGCGATGGTTAAGTTAGCGTATGTACCAATGTCGTCTCTGATAGGCCTACGATAGAGTAAACAATTACGCATTGTAGGCATAATGTCTCCTAAAGACTCGATCGTATACATATAAATCGATATTTTAATGCTAGAATGATCGGAAGTGGATTTTACTTGTAAGGCGAGCCATCGTCTTAGTCAGTGGAGGTAAGAATCGCTTTCGAATAGAGGCTGCCTCTTTTTTGAGAATAAGAATAATTGAGAGAACCCGCAAGAAGTACAAGACTTGTGACCGTGTAAGCAAGACATGTCCGGCGAAATGTAGATTTCACGCCTTTCTAGCATTAATGCCGTCTTTCGGCGCTCGAAAGAGGCTTGGATCGACTCGTATTCCGGGCTCTTTCAAAATCCGCCGGAAATAATGCCTTATGAGTAGGTCATAAGTAGTTCATAAGTGTGTAATATAAAAAAAATATATATTATGTTTATATAACTCTATACAAATACACAAAATATAAAAAAAATTTCAGAGTAGTTTATTGACATTTTTCCTATTGACACGCCACTTGCGTTAAATATATCAATTATTTAAATTCTTTTATTTTATGTACACGCACGGCCGGTGTATATGTCATATCTTTATTTTTTAAGATATTGAATCAGGTTGAAATTAGTTATTTGAAAACAGCAGGTCAGAAATTTTCTGAAAATAATATTAACAACGAACGGTAGGAGCGCAGGTTGAAACAGCTGTAATTTTGCAATCTAGAATATGCTTCTAAATGAATACAGTTGTAAAATTAATCTTTATATTTCTAAAACGAGTGCCCACGAATCAGGCTCCCAGAAATGGTTAACAAGAGAAAAGAATATCAATATATATTACACTTTATCAATATATTTTATACTTGCTTGCTCGAACAATGACTATGATCTAAGCGAGAGCAGTTACTTTTCCTTAGTTTCAGCAATTTGCGGAGCGTCCCGGAAATTAGGAAACTGCTCCCACGGGGCAGCTAATTCAAATTTACGGAATTCCTGAGTCAATTCTAACGGTTCGATCACTATTCTTTTATGTTCGTCGTCATAGCGCACCTGAAATATGGAAATCACTAATCGTTACTTTCAACATAACAAACACAAAAACAATATTAAATTCAATATTTCACAATTGTCTTTAGACACTTGAAGACATTACTGTTATTTCAGTAAGAATTTTTTAACGGCCGCAATTTTGATAGAAACAGAAATGACTGTAAGTACATTTTTCAACGTAATAATTTTGTTAACAAGTTGACTTAATGCTAGTAGAATGTCCTACAAATTTTTGCCGAACCTCAACGTATCCGCTGAGTGGAAAATCTTTCCTTAGTGGATGACCTTCGAAGCCGTAGTCTGTAAGAATCCTACGAAGATCAGGATGATTCGAGAAGAAAACACCAAACATATCCCATATCTCTCGCTCGTACCAATCAGCAGCTTTAAATACACTATAGATGGAATCAACCGGCGTCAACTCGTCGGTATACGTTTTAACTCTGATACGCGAGTTGTATCGCAACGATAGTAGGTTGTAAACGAGCTGTAATGATAAGTAATTCCATTTATACAAAATCTCATTACCTAAAGTCAACGGCATACAATGCTTTTTTGCTTGCATGTTGGTGAGCACCAATCCGGATGCAATCTTGACTCGTCTGACCTATCACGTGGAATCTTGTCTGGCTCTCACTAGCCAGCAAAGGTGCACGCAAGCAAACCAAGCATCGTCCAAGCGAAAAAGCATTGTGTCGCTGACTTAAGTCACACTTGTACAAAATGTTCGTACGTTTTAAAGGAACTCTCTTTGTACTTTGTAAATATTTAGCTGTAATTTACTTTGATCGCGTTCGCTGGGATGGTTGGATGGGCTGTTAATAAACACTGCTTCTGATAAGTTTAAGACTGACTCTACCAGACTATAACGATACTCTCCGCGAAAACCGTCTTAACGCCTTCCCGTCCCGAAAGAGAGTTCCTTTTAAAGTGCGTACGTTTAAAGTAAAACGTACCTCAAATCTGTACTGTCTACTGGGTACATCTATAGCAGTAATATCTGCCAGATTAACAAACTGCGTGTTATGATGATCCTTTAAAAATGTGAACGTAGGGATGATGCCATCGGGGACGATTAACAGTTCCAGCTCGTCGCCAGCGGCCAGCTGTACCTGTTGTATGTATTTGGGTAGACATTCGCTGATATAACGGCCAAAATGTGTCAAACGATCAACGTCCACATGACTGGGTTTCCGCACCGTGGCTGTAAAAACGTGTAAGACGATTCCATTTTAATAAATACTTTGCACATACACACGCACATCCAACACACATATATGTATGTATATTTATATAGTATATTTCTGAAATATCCTATGTACACATATATTTCAGAATTTTTTTTCGTTGACAAAAGTTAACGTGAAAATTAATAACCCGCTAAGCTACGACTACAATGCGATAACTTATTTACGAAGATTAGCCTACAAATAAATAAATTATACGTACGACGAGTCTCGGTTTTCTCGGTATCCTCGCTGGCCGTCGTAGCGTTATATCTTACAGCTGACGGAGAAGCGACAGCATAACCTGCCAAACAAGTGCGCACGTTATTACATAATTTGACGACGACGGGTTTCTTCCGCGACCAATATCTCTTTACATTTCGGCGTAGCAGCTGGCAAACTTCGCGACAGTCTCCAACAGTTTCTCAATATCGATGTCATTTTTCCAAGGAACGTTTTAAATACGCTCGGAAACGCGATTATTAGTAGGACATGTCCCGCAACTTCCACCAGCGTTCCACAGTTCCTAGAGGGCGCTTATCGTATGTACGGGGGGGGGGGAGTAAAATTGTATTTCAACAAAATTACGTATCGTGCACATTTAGAAGTTAATATTAATAAACCAATCGTTAATAATTGTACAGTGATTGTCAGAAGATTGTATTTTAATTAAAAGTAAATATTCAATAAAACTTTTATAGTATTGTTATCAAATACGCTACTCAAAAAAGGGGGAGGAACACTTTTCATATCAAGTTAAAAATTGGCAATTTTTAAATCTCTGAAACTCCGCGAAGAATCATCGCGGATGAAAAATTTAGAAAGCATTCTGAAGTTTTTACTTCAACGCGACATCAACAGCTTTCTAACGCCTTTTGTCACTGTTCTACGTTTGTTTTGAAAAAGAACACACCTTTGCTCCTTAAAATTACTTACGTATATTTAACGCTCTCTCAGTAATAAACTTTTTTTTTAGAAGTACAATATGGTACAATACTTTTAACACAAGTGTTAAAAAGTACATTTTCCCTACAGGATGTTCTTTTTTTTCAAATTTTCCTACTTGTTTTTTTTACCAAGTTACATTACCGAAGCCATACATTTTCGTGAAAAATGACACCGATTGCGGCATTAATAAATTAACTTACTCTTCGTGGTAGAACTGTACAGCGGCGTAGCTTTGCATTCAGTTCAGCCGTAGCTTAAGGATTAAAGTCACTCGTAGCAGCCCCAGGCGGGCTTCTAAAGATTCGTCCTGAGACGTTTTCCCACCGTGTTGTCTTGGCTTCATGTTAAAAGCTCGGGTCATTCTTTTTCCAATTCCATTTCTGCCTATAGGTAAGTCGATTTGTTTCGTTTAACTGATACGTTCATTTTTTTATTTGTTCTGGATTGTATAAATTTGTGAGTTTATTAAACGACGTTGTACGACTCGTAACAATAGTGAAATGCGCCAGCTGGTGCGTAGAAAATACGTGCAAGGCTTTCGTCGTGTCTTGAGAAACAGACGTGCTTTTATGTCCGTGTTGTTGCAGCTTTGGTGCTAGCTGGACATTCTACTGCACAGTTAACAAAATTCTCGATTACTTCTGCCCATCTTTCGAATTTCACACATTTAGCCTCTCGAGACTCCTATAACGTAGCGGACACACACGTGTTCTTCGCTTCTTATGCGATACACATTTTTTTTCTTAGAGACAAGGCACGGGATTATATAATGACGAGCATTAGGCCATTCCGATTCTAGCACATTGTAATATGCCTTAGTCATTACAAGAGAAATGTTTGCGCGAGCTTTACATATTTATCATCCTTCGAATATAAAATATTAAAGACAAATGAAAAACAATAACAGGCCAATAAAATATTAAATTATTTCAAAGCTATACTCGTGTCAGACTTGGCAGGAAGATCACGCTAGAGTCTTACTTATATTCGTTAGCTGAACATATAATTCATATTTCCCGGTTCGGTGGACTCTTCCACTTCGGCTGCGATACGATGTCTCTTAAGGATACGCGGTCACTTACAAATATCACATTCGTCATGACAATTTGTGCGATGTACAGTAAAATAAGAGTACTTTTTAATAAAATGGAATTTGTAATCGGTAGAACGGACTTGCAAAATATTCCGACAACTCCCCTTTCGATTAGGTAATCAATACGTAACTTATTACATACGTCAAATAGAATCGAGCCTGATCAAAGAGGAAAACAAGATGTTTCACGGCTGCTGAATTGAAATAAATGTTTTCTTTCGTGTATTAAATTATAATAGGAGTTTTTCGGTATATTTTAGCACTGGATAATTATTTAAATGTAAAAACTACAACATGGCGAGTTACATAGCTTATAGAGATACAGCGGTACAGAGTTTTTTTACAGAGATTTTTACAGATATACTCCTTAATTAGATTTCACAATTTCGACTTCAGTGCACAACATATAGATTTTAAGAATCAGGCGCCATTTGGAGACTCACGTGAACATGCCAGATGACAAATTCAATAAAAAGTTCCGTATGGAACATTTTCGCACGAATACCTGCGTTTGGCTCGCATTTGCCTTCTTCCCCCCACCAATTTATAAATTGTAAGTACTAGGATTCAGCATGACTGTAAGCCGCTTCTATTGTTTGTGTTGTAGTTTAATTTAGCTTTTTGTTTTAGAAAACTAGGGTATTAGAAAGGTATCAAAATCATTTCAATCTTTCACATTTCCACATATAAAACAAATCTCTCTCTCTGAAAAGATTCTACCATGTGAAGACAATTCTTTTAATCCTTCAGTTGAACTGTTTCTGAAATCTTTAACATTAAATAAATATGAAAACATAAAGTGGATATCGTAAAAAGCTCTTGCGTGAAATAAATTTGGAGACTGTCTTTATTGGTCACAAAATAGAAGGTTTTTAGATGCAAAGAGTACATGTAGATCGGGCTTTAAATGCTCAATTACACTTGATTCATTTGGGTAAATCACTGTTATGCATCTTGCACAGGCAATGGAAGATCGATTTTCTGGTCGAACTTTGCGTATTCATAAATGTTTTTCGAAGTCATTAAGTCTAAATGTTCTCGTGTTACTGCCATAGTGCAAGCAGTCTTATCGCTGTCCTTTAAAGCATACCGTACAACGTAATTGGAATTTATTGTTTCAATTGATATATTAGTCTTTTTCTTCATTTTCGCGTTTGGCATGAGAGAAGCTATGTGTTTTACCTCAACGTTTGAGTGAGGAAGAGCTCTCACTACTGTCAAAAGTAACCGTAAATTTGGAAAATGAGGTACTCCTTCATCTGTGGAAAATAAACTTATTTGTATCCACATATCATCAAATGACAACTTTGACCACTCTTCCCTCTTGTCTGAATTGATTTCATATAAAGACTCCCATTCATTTTGAATTAATTTTTCATCAGCCAATCCACCTAATCTACGATTAACATAAACAACTTTATTAAATGTGGAAACTCGATCACAATCAAACAATGCCGATTTGCTTGAAAAGACAGCAACATTGTGCAAAAATGTGTCATTAACTGGTAGACGTTTACGAATTTGTTCGCTTACTTTAACGTAGAATTTTAAACAGTTTTTTCGGATAAGATCAATGTCCGTTTTACAGCAAATTCCCTTATCTAATAGTTCTTTTAAATATGTGTTGCATTCGAAACCAAAATGAATTTCTTCCAAAGGGAGATGATTTACGTGATTAGAGAACTCCAAATTTTCTATAGTATCATCGAATATTTTCGGAACTATTAAGAGAGGGATGATAAATTTTTGGAGGAACCAAAGCAACAATTCCATAGATGAAGGCTGTAACTCATGAATCAGAGAGTTCCGTGCTTGAAACTTACTATTAAATTTGTTAAAAACGTCCAGAGTAAATTTCAAAAAGAAAAAATAAGCTTTTGTCGCAGGATCTTGAAAAATCTTGTACAAGTCACTTGCAGAATGACTATTTTTACTCGATTGTTCCATTAGAAAGTCACTTAAGATTTGCCACATTTCCAAAATTTTCTGAATGTATTTAAAATTTAATAACCAAAATGTTTCTACATGTTTCGAAATCATCGAAGAATTTTCGACGAACATGCTGAGTTTTCGATGTATTAATTTTTTTTTGGAATTCTTAATAAGTGTAAAAATACCTTTGACAAAATGCTCACAACATTTGGGAATCACGTGACAAGCCTCTTCTACTGCCAACATTGAAGTATGACACACACATGAAAGCGTAATAAGATTTGGATTTGTTTCACTTAATTTTGTTTTAAGGGAAGAAGTTCTACTTACTAAAGCATTATCGCAAGCAAGACCAACGATCGACTGATGTGAAATATCTTTTTTCGACAACTCACTTTTTAAAGATTCGAATATTTTATTAGGCGAACAATCAGTACCCAAATAAATCATTTGTAGTAGATCACATTTAGTGATTAACGTTTCTGGTTCTACATAACGGACCATTATTGGAAACAATTTATGACTCATAAGATCTATTTCATCTTTATATATTGAAAATCTATGTTTTCTCAAAGCCGCGGAAATCCGATCAGTTTCTTTACGACACAAAACATTATTAATAATTTGGGTTAATTTCCTTCTCCCTAAAGACAACGATTGTAAGGCGCCGAATTCTTTTCCAATATCTTTCAAGAGCAAAATTAAATCGGATGCAATTCCAAATGATATATTTTTTTCCATGAAAAATGTCGCTAATTTTATTTCTGCTACCTTGACACGATCGTTAAAATTAAAATCTTCTGCACTTAACAAAGATCGAGTCACTTCCAATTCATTTAAGTTATTTGTATCGGCAGACGATATTTTACTTATCACTTGTGTAGTTCTGATCCCATCATTTAAGCATTTCATATTTTTTATATGATTTTCTCTTAATTCGTGTCGTTTCATTTCTGAGAGACCACAAGTTAATACACTTTTACAGGCCCGACAGAAAAATTTAGAAGGATCATCAGGAATAACTGTTACCCATCTTCTCCATGAAGGGTTGTCATCAAACCACTGGTATTGAAACCGCTTGGAACTTGTTTTAGACCTTTTTTTTATAGGTTTTTGAGCACTCATTTTATCTAAAACAGATTAAGTATTAAATATAAATAGCAATTCGTTTATAAATTACTACGTTTCGATATTCACTAACAGAAATGAAAATCTACAGTTTGTACACTTAATATTGGCTGCAGCTGTTAGCTGCCTCTAACGATACGTAAACTACAGACTTTCAGTACTGGCAGTGAATATTAGAGGCAGCTAACAAGCAGCCAATATTAACTGTACAATTAAAAATATTAAAGACCACCACTCGTGATTTTCTATAACATATTATGTTAAGGTGCCTGTTGACACTCGACGCTTTATTTCAGTGTAAGAAGATACCGTGTAACCAAAAGTATTGCGGTGATAATGAAAGAGACGTCAATGTTAGTATTGTAAAGTTCTAAACTATCGTTTGCTAATAAATAGCAAATCCGGTTAAATAAATGTAATAAAACATTAAGAGATCAAACGAAAACGCACACATTAATATTTGTATTAATGAAGCTTGTGCAGCGGTCCTTACTCTGGATAACAGGCCTACGTAGTTAGTACAAATTTAGTAGAGGAAAGTCCTCTATTGCGAGATAGGCTTCTAACATGAGACAGCAGATTTTCAACGTCCAAGTTCAATCACAAATCTTTCTTCGCAAAGATTACACGATCTAACAATCAATTTCCCACTAAACAGATTTCACTCTAAGGGCAATAAGTACATGGAGAGACCGACAGATGATGCCAATTAATTTAACAGAAACTCGGCTATCCCATATTAGGAGTCTATCTCATAATAGGGGACTTGACCTCTTATATTTTATTATTGCAATCGTTTGGACAAATATAGGAACAATGCAAGTGAAATATGACACATGTACATAGCAATTACATTACAAGTAAAAGTGATTTTCAGATATTAAATTTAAGTATTACAATCAAATTATTATTTCCCAAACATTAAAGATATCAAGATGTTTCCCAGACAATTTCAAATGACAGAAACAAATTTAAAAAAATTATGTCCGCTGACTGTACGTTCAATTAATTTTCCGTTTATTACAAATAATCTATTATTTCCTAAATTACGCGAGTATGTTCCAAAATGCCCAAACAATTGCAATAAAAAAAATATTAAATCTGTTTGCCAACTACACGAAGGTATGGGACAGCAGAAATGTACAAACCTGAGGCGCAATTTTCGCTACGCGATTTCTGTGGAATCTTCTCCTGTGTACTATTATTGGCGTTCAATCCCCGAATAAGACCGGTAGTGCCACATTTCTGTGGAATAAAGGTTTGTTTTTAAAGCCAGTGAGACACACGATCTAGAGCACATATATTACCAAGAAAAGGGAACACGTGGAGGCGCGGAGGAAGGCTTTCCAGCTGTTTCGCGTGTCCTATGTAACGAAACGTGTCCGATGTAATAAAGTAGAAGAGAAGCAATTATTATCCGGGACAGTTTTCTTACGTTGTTACTGTTATTCCGACTGTTTTCAGATAGTCACCGTATCGGGCAATGCTTCCAACTTAACCTAATCTCCCCTGTCGCCCTCTATCACCTTACGACTCCGGCAAACAGGGCGCGGGAAAAATTGCCGCGCGGCGGAAGTGGGCGCAGTAGCCAATCAAAGTTGCAGAAAGTTAAACTGTTTTTTCTGACAATGAGCGGTACAAGATTTAAATTGACTATCGCTAACTTTCGATAAAAATTTAAACTAATCGCGAGTTCGGTTGCTTGCACCAGTGCGCAAACTGAGTGCACGCTAAAGCCCGCTGCAGACGATGCTATATATTTTTCCTGCTGGATTGCTTGCGATTTGGTAAATTACTAGAAATCCTGAGTGCTGAGTGGTGCAATGGTAGTAATTTATTAGATTGCAAGCAATCCAGCAGGGAAAATAACATCGTCTGCAGCGGGCTTAGGTTTCGTTTGTATTTAAGGATCGTCAATTTTTATATTTAAAGATTGTCTTAAATATCTCTTGAAATATTTCTTAGCCAGTAAAATGATCTGTATAGCATCCATACGGATCATTTTTGGCTAAATCTCTTTCAACATATATTTAAGACAAAGTTAAATATAAGAGAATTGGCTATAAAAAGCCTAATTAGTGTGCACTTAGTGCGCACTTTGCAAGCAACCGAATTCGCTATAAGATTAAATAAAAATTTTGCTAAGTGAATTAATTAATGAATCAATCGTTTAGTCACTGTTCGTACGACAAATGTAATACCAGCCTAAGAGCGACTAACAAATCTTAATTTATTAATTGGTAATTCAACCAGCAAAATTTATTTCCTGTATATTATATTATACATATATGTATAGGAAATTTAACACAAACTTTTCGAACAACCTATTAAAATCTTAAGTATCCTGTATATTTATATAAATAACGCATAATGTAATCAATATTATAAATACATTGCACCGTGCCATTACTGCAATCTTACATTGTAATATGTCTGAGGGAGGACATTTCAATGTTGCTTCAAGATTGCAGCAACGTTGCTGAAACATTTCACAAACTTCCATGCAATGTTACAATGTTGCAGTAAAAGGTGTTTGCAATGTTTCTGAAATCTTTCGGCGCAGCATGGGTTTATACATGTTTTTGTTCTGACGAACTATTTATTTTGTCAAAGTTATAATTTTCATTATATATTCCCAACAATTTTTACTATTTTTGATGCAAACGTTTAACGAAAATTAGAAAGAGCTGTTAATGCCGATTCATTCCGTATCTCATAATTCATTCGCGTTTTAATGACCAAATGTTTGAATATGTCAGCAACTTCGCACAATATTATGCAAGATTAAGTCGACAGTTACTAAATACGGATAATTAATTAATCAATCCAATCACCAAATACACAGTTGCTCGAAGAGGCCTCTTCAGGCCTATTCTCTACTCGATTTATATTTATCAAATTTGCACAACGCTAACTTCCAAAAATACGGTTAAATATAATTGCACTTTATATATAGAATACCTCTCAAAGTTAATTGTTTCTGAGGCTCTACTATATTTTGAATAAGATCACAGATCATGCAAAAGTACACGATGCGATCGAAATTTTCCAAATTTCGATCGCATCGTGTACCTTCGCACTATTTGTATTATGACAACTCGGTTCCCGAGTGAATAAATGACGTGAAGTCAATACTTTGCCTACGTATTCCTATATAGTTTGGTTAAAATTATATTAAATAATTTTAAACTGATTATCTAATTTTTTAAACTAATATTAATAATTATGCTGCAACAAACTCCACAAAAATATAACATCGACAATAGTGAACAAGTATAATAAAACAGGGTAAATAAATAAAATAATTATTTTAACTATTCAACTTTGTCACTATTGGTCGAAGATAATTCTTGCAAATTGGCGAAGTTTAACAAACGGATTTCTTGAGTCGACAACATAATAGCATAGTTCCTCTGAAGAATCTGTTTTATTTCCGTTACTATTAACGAGTCTATTCCCATTTCGATTAACTGACTGTTAGGATCAATCGAATTAACATCTTTAATGCCTAGGATAGCAGCAATGGTTGTGACGAGGTTGGTCTTGTTGTTGTCGTCATCGGGTTTATATTTTTCAGCCAACACAAAAGAAGTTAACACCGGATGCGGTTGTTGAAGAAATATATCCATTGTCGCAAGACAACTTGATATACCTTGTCGTAGAATACCCAACATCTCGACGTCGTTATCTGTCATTGTTTCTGAAAACATAACAGAATCAAAATAGGAACTACGATCATGAAACATACAAAGTATTTGTACAATGAATCTAGAACAACTTTATGCAAAGTATGAATACGATAAAACTAACAATATGTTAGTTCTAGTGTCTTAGAAGGGTACAGAATTAAGACGTCAGTCAAGATTGAGTTTACGAAACCAAAGAAAAGATAAATTGAAAAGTTTCGATCCTTCGATTCAGGTCTTCACTCAAACACTTGATGCATTACCTGAGGCTATGCCGACCTCTTTGAAGGAACCCCATTGAACGGCGAGACCGGGTAAACCATTAGCCTGTCTCCGTTCCATTAGTCTCTCCATGGTTGAATTCGCGAAACCGTAGTTGGTTTGACCAATATTGCCGTAACCGCACGATGTTGATGAGAATACCACAAAGTAATCTAGCGATGGGCAAAGCTTCCTGGACACAGCATCTAAATTCCTTGTAATATCGACTTTTGGCAACATGACCGCTTTGAAATCAACCTCCGTCTGGTTTCCGATCAGAGCATCGCGGAGTACAACTGCCAGATTGAATATACCGCCTACCGGAGCCAGCCGGTTGCTTTCTTGAATTAAGTCTTCGGCACCCGATAATGTCGCGGCATCCACTGTGGAGACTACGATATTTACACCGATTTTGCGCCAGCGACTCACGCACATTGCCTGGTAACCAGTGCGAATGCCTGAGCGTGATACAAGAACAATAACTTTGGCGCCGCGGCCGATCATCCAATTTGTCAGTTCTAAACCGAATCCGCCGAGACCGCCGACCAAGATGTACGATTTATCCGGATCCATGTAAGTACGTGAGATCGCGGACACTGTCTTTGGCGTTGGTGATACATACTTCTTTGATTCTTCAGAACGAAGTTTCAACAGCACTTTGTCAATATGCTTGCGTGCCGCCATGAATCTGAATGCTTGCTCGAGCTGTTGTTCCGAAAACACAGTCCATTGGAGCGGACGTATCGCGCCATTTTTTATCCCCTCCGAAAAGAATTTGATCAGTTTATTCTTTTGCGCTTTATTTTCTTGAAATACCATATCCAACAATATACTATGGTAAGTATATTTTACTAACGTTGATATGCTCACGCGGCTGACTTTCGACATATCATGCATGCTGATGTCAAGAAAACGGCCACCGAACGCCAGGCACCGGATGCCAGCTTGTAATTTCGCATCTGTCAGTGAATTCAACACGACATCCACTCCACGTCCTTGAGTCTCAAAATCTATGAGCTGTTCGAAACTGGTATCTTGGGAAGTGCCAATGTGCTTGTCGTTCAACTGCGGAAAGATTTTCTTGAGATATGTTCTTTTATCCAACGTGTCAACGGTAGTGAAGACGGTACAACCAGCGTGCAGAGCAATGGCAATCGCTGCTTGACCGACGCCGCTTGTACCATCGTGAACTAATATGCTTTCGCCCGCTGTCAATTGACCTCGTATAAACAAAGCATAGTAACTAGTTGTGTAAGCGATAGGTATGGTTGCTGCCTGTTCCAACGTCCACTTGTCGGGTACTTCCCAAAGGAAATCGAGATCTGCAACCACTGTAGTCGCCAGTCCTCCAACTTCGACTATACCCATCACGCGACGACCGTCAGCGTCTCTCCCCGAAAATCCACGTCCCAATATACATTCTTCCGTAGCTATATTCCTCGGCAAAATATCCAGGGGCAACTTTCCACTCGCCAATATGATATCCCTGTCGTGCATATAATTTATTCACGTGTCACGCCTTCATTATCTCAATATCAGTAAGTAATATTGGCACTTACCTGGAGCTCAGTGGAGCATAGTAAACGTAACAAAGTTTCATATTAGGAAACTTGTCGGGACGATAGTATTTTAAGGGTCTTTCGATCCATTTCAAGCTGCTGAGGTCTCCTCTTGTCAATGTGTTTACATAGGCGTGTTTCACCTGCACAGAAGACATGTTGCTCTGTTGATCCATTGGCAAGTGTCGATAACTGCCCCATTGTCCTCCTTTCAAAACGTTTGCCATTAATCCTTTGTCCAATTGCTCCACATAAAACTGTACGAATATGCTAAATGTGGGGGCATTCTGGTCCTGGATAAAGACATAACGCAAATTTGCATTGCCTAACTCGCGTCGCATACAAGTCATGAGTCCGACCAAGCCTACGAATTAAAAACGACAAGACATGTTTTTGTTCATCATGTAAGGTAGTCAAAGAGACACTTTAAAAGCTTAAGAATTTTCTTCCGCAATCTTACCAAGCGTTTCTTCGCCCTGCGATACAAGGAGTATTTCTTCATCTACACTGTCGCATTTTTTCAGTGCTGCTTTTATATTTTCCAGCCATGACAGATTTTTTTCTGTAATTTGAATTACCATTGGTTCTTTTCGTTTCTGTCGTTTTTTCAGCAATAAATAAGTCTTTTCTACGGAAACTGATT